ATATGAGATTATGATATTGGTTATGTTATTACCTTTATGAGTCAGTTTTGAAAATCTCGTTACGGTAAGTATGCGGTAAATAATTTTAGTTATGATAAATGAATTTACTTAAATTAAGAGTTTTATTAGTTATTTGTTATAATTTCTAGCAACCTTTATTTTTGTATTGGTGAGTAATGTGACATTCTTATTGAGTTAGTGTAGCTCACTCTTTCATTAACCATTTCAAATCAAGAGAACCAAGATTCAGATCCCAATCTACAAGAGGGTTGCGAATATGATGTCCAGTTATTTACTTTCTATTTATTTCCTTAATTTTTCGTTTGTTCTTTTGAAATGGTCATTCTCGTAGTCATATTACGTACTTTAAATTATTGTGTAAGGAAAATAAACCATAACTTATTATTTCACTTCCACATTCAATTTATAATTTATTTTTTTTAAGTTCCGGATTGTTACAATTTGAACCGTGTTGCCAAAAATACAAAAAGAGAGCCTTTTTCATTGAACAATAAAACCTAAATATATAATAGCTGAACTTGCAGCTTTTTATACATCCACATATTTATAATTAAGTCAGTAAACACAATTACTAACTAATTAACTAAGCTGAAGTTTTGTCTAATAATCTATAAAATGCGTCTATACTTATTATCACTACAAGACAATGTATTGAAGCGTAGCACTCAATCTTTTGTTTGTAAAATTTAGTTAGTTTACTAAATTTTCATTCTCCATATCACTCTTTCAAAATGAAAGTGAAGTTTGAGATTAAAAAAATAAATAAATTCTAGAATTTTTGAGAAGATGGAGAGAGCCTGTGTACAAAAAGGCCCACTACACGGCAATCCGGTATTTGCACTTTCAAGACAAAGTGGCTCGTGTCTTTGCCATATGGCGAAGAAACAAGAAGCATATTCATTGTGGGCTTATATCTATGTCATTGACATTAACTTTATGATATGAACATAATATAATTCATCCATATATTATTTATCTTTTAAATTTTAAATTCATAAATAGAATAATTTTAATTCTAAATTAATCATAGATTACACAATTACAAATTATTTACTCATCTTCTGCCGACCCTCTTTATTTTTAAACTCAAAATTTGACTATTGGAGGATAAAATCCTAATGGTATGAAAAAACAGAAATAATTTTTGGAATAAAACTTCATAATATAACTAAATAAATAGAATCACTAGATTCAAAAATAAATTAATTTTATTTATTAAATTTTTTCTTATTAATTACTTAACATATAGAAGGTAATCATAATTTATATATGTAAAAAACAATTAATTTTTTGTTATTTTATGTTCCATAATTTTCTATTGAAAGGTGTTAATAAATAAACGAGTTACTATTAAATATAAAAGTAATTTAGAATTAATTATTTTTATTATACTTTTTATTTTTGTTTCCTATAATTAAAAATGAAATTCAACTCAAAATTTAAAAAAAGAAAATACCAAACAAATGATTAATTATACAACTAACGTAAGGAATTGGGGTGAGAGACATGACATGGCCTCTTTAAAATTCCCTTGCATGTGGGCAATTGGTGCAGAATTAAATGAATGAAGAATGGTCACCCAACGCTATTTAAGTCTGAGACAAAACATCTCATGCCTTTCCCTCTTTTATATGTCACCTCAAATATACTCTCTCTCTCTTTTTTTTGGGTGAGACCAAAATTCAAATAATTTTGCAAGTCTTGGTAAAATAGTTTTTTACATTTCTTTTTAAAAAAATTAGGATTCAACCCCGGGCTTGGGAAGAGGAAGAAACCAAAAAGACAAAGAACATGATTGAAGAATCATGTTTTCATCATTCACATGACAGCATATTTTCAAATATACATGTGAAAACTCTGATCTACGCAATTCCATCTCACCACCTTTCTATACATAAAATATGTAATCATCATATTACGTGTACATAAAATATATACGTACATTTATACTTTCTTCGTATTTACTCAACTTCTAAATCTAAAGTAATGATTCATCTTCTCGCAGCCTTTAGCTCATCATATCCGATACATGTACATCTCATCCCCCCAGAAGCTATTCAAACCCTTCAAAATAATTAAATCAATCCTACTCTCTCTTTTAGGGGAAAAAAAATCATAATTATTTTTTGTATAAATCATACTTTCTCTTTTATAAGACTGAAATTTCTGATAAAAAAAATAAATAATTTTTAATTTTGTTAAAATTTTACTTTTTATACAGTATTAAAGCTACAACAACCGGCAATTACCCTTAAAAGAATAATTAATTTATTTTATTTTAATAATACGTTGTGATAATAATAAAAATTAAGAAAAAAATATACATAAATAATTATTATTATTTTTTAGTTATTTTAAATTTAAGTCAAATAAAAATATTATATTTTAAAACTTTAGCTGTAAGAATCAAGTACTAAATAAAGAATAATTTTGTAAATCCTCTCAACTCAAATCAACTAAAAGCCAAGTCTCCAGTTTTAGTTCCCATCGAATCAGCCAAAAGAAGAAACATAAAATAAAAGGATACCTCAGAAAATAAACAAAGAAGGCGAACTTCCCCTTCTTCCTCCTCTTCCCTTTTTTCTCCAGTCACCATCACTCTCACTCATGACCACCGTCTCTCTACGCTAAAATCATTAAATCTGGACAATTCTCCTCCTACTTCTAAAGCATTTCAACTCCCTCACAAAGGTAACTCTGTTTTTTTTCTCTCTCTCCAACCCTACTTCTTCTCTATCTCTCATTGTCTTCTTCTTCATACTTGCTGGTAATTGGTAAATGTAATTCAATTCCTTACAAGAACTCTCGCCAGTTCGTTTACGCTTTTGCTTTTAATTAATTTGATCTCGTACTGCTTATTTTTACTTTAGCATTTCATTTCTTCGATATCTTCAGCTCTTTTAACTTGTCACTAGATCTGATTTGGGCCACTAAGCACGCATAGGTCCAAGAAGGGAATGAATTTTGATACACTCGTCTCTATTCTTTTCGAAATTGTAAGTTGTGGCTTGAGCCGACGAAAGGTACTGAGGAGCAGAGTTAAGGTTGTGTTTTGAACGTGTGGCCTAAATGGAGGCTAGAATGAAGAAGTACAGACAAGTCAGTCCTGAAAGAGCTAAAGTGTGGACGGAGAAATCCCCTAAATATCAACAACAGCAGATTAAGAAAGTCCCTGTTGTTTATTATCTCTGTAGGAACCGCCAGCTCGAGCATCCTCATTTCATCGAGGTGCCTCTTTCTTCACCAGATGGTTTGTTCTTGAGAGGTAAATTGGCGTTTTTGTATCTATGGAGTTCTTTTTGGAATTTCTCTTTGCAGTTTCCTTGAGGAGTCTTTTTTTTTTTTTTTTTAAATATAGATGTAATTGAGAGGCTTAATGTTCTTAGAGGCAGAGGAATGGCTGCCATGTATTCATGGTCCTGCAAGAGGTGAATTTTGCTTCTCTCGCTCATATCTTTCTCCCCTTAATATTGCTAGACATTTATTTTTATTTTTGCAGGTTATTTTATTACAGGCTAATGAAAATAGGTTCATCATGTTATTACCAGGCATACTTGCATTTCGTTTTCCTTCCATTTTTTCATAATTTTATTCAATAATGAATGCAGAAGTTACAAGAATGGATTTGTTTGGCACGATCTTTGTGAAGATGACTTGATTCTACCTGCTCATGGAAATGAATATGTTCTTAAAGGTTCTGAGCTATTTGAAGAGTCCAATTCGGGTAATCTTCTACATCCACAATCACTTGAAGAAGCTTTTATAACATCATCGAAGACCTAAATCCAAAAATCTTCTGTGCAGATCGTTTTAGCCCTGTTGTAAATATAAAAATGCAAAATCTTAAGTCATTACCAGAACCACCATCTTCTAGGTGCCAGGACGATAGTTCATCATCTTCTAGCATGAACGGAAAGGGAACTAAACATTCTCAGGAAGATGAGCTTTCTCCTTCAGTTCAGCAGCCTGGTTCCTCTGCTGTCTCACCTGAGTCTGGATACGAAAGGAATTCTTCTTGGGGTGGGTCTCTCTGTTTGACGGAGTACAAGGTCTATAAGAGTGAAGGACTTGCTGATGCTTCTACGCAGACTGAAGAAAATGGCAGCAGGCCTAAAACTCGTGAAACCTGTACTAGGGGTGTTTCTACTGATGATGGCTCGCTAGAACCTCTATGTAACCAGAATTATCAAAACCAGACTCCATGTGCAAAAGAGAATTCTGAGGCACACACAGAATCTGTTTCTCCTCCACCATCTTCCTGCAGTGCCTCTTATTCGGGTGGAAAAACTGAGACACTGGAGTCCCTGATTAGAGCTGATGCTAGTAAGATCAATAGTTTCAGAATTCTTGAAGAGGAGGGACTGAGAATGCCAACCAATGCAAGAGTCAAAGCTACAAATATGTTGATGCAATTGATATCTTGTGGGTCAATATCAGTGAAAGATCATAGTTTTGGCCTTGTTCCGACCTATAAGCCAAGGTTTACTCATTCAAAGTTTACTTCGCCATTTTTCTCTACTTCAATTATGTTGGGAGAGCTTGATTGCTTGTCAGAGAACCCAAGACTGATGGCTCTAAGATTGGAAGACAAAGAATATTTCAGTGGTAGCTTGATTGAGACAAAGTTGCTCAAGGAAGAAGGAGATGGAAATACCTCTCTGAAACGTTCTTCTTCCTATAATGCTGACAGGTTAGTCTGGTTAGAGTTCTTATCTTGCAGCAAATGGTTATCTTATTAACAATTCTTACTTTCTGTCTTTGGTGGTATCTCTAGGTAAAGAAAACCAATGTGACATTTTAAGTTGGTGGCAATATTGGCAGATTAGATATAAGCATTATAATAGCCCAGGTTTGAAGACTATTCTCTAGGAAAATGGATTTGGTTTCGTTTCTCATGGAGTGTGTTGAGGCTTATTGACCAACAGATAAGCTGAGTGCATTTTTATTTGTAAAGAACTTTTAGCGAACAATTAAAAATTGAAATAACAAGAGGCAGGTAGGTGTTTTGACTTCATTGAATAATAAGAGGGGTTATCTAAATTTCCCTATGAGAAGCAAGCTTCACAACCTAACTTATCTTGAAGAAGGTGAACTTTTCCCATCCATTGCAGTACTTTCCTGGATCTAGATATGTCTTGTATATGGTTGTGATTTGTTTATGGAATATTTTTCTTTTGGTTAATATTTCTGGAAAGAAACTGAAATATAGGACTATAGGATGAGAAAATTCTTGATCTACCACCAATGGAATGGATTAAAATAGTCTGGAAATGGATTTCCAAGAAAAGCTTATCCTTTATGTCCTGTAGTAAAGTTCCCATGCATTTTTATCCCTAGCCTTTACCTTCACGGCTTTCAGACTTTCACTCTTTACCTTTAGCATACAATATGGAAATCAGGTGCACAGGTGGCCTGGAATATGCCTTGTGGGATTGAACTGTTGCTTTCAGAAGCACAAAGCTTTTTCTAGATGGGGTTCATTAGCCACATCGATCTAAATCATTTATAAAGGAAAGGAAATTATACTGTCAGCACTAGTTAAATATTGAGGTGAAGTTGGATTATGAAATCTTATGTATGTTTCTATCAACCATGATATTTAGCTATCTTTTAGATGCACTGAAAATTGCATTAACTATGCTATGAAAACCACTGGTCAGCTAGCTATGGCTTATGGTGTTTCTATTATTTGACTGGGGGAATATGAAATTCATGAGGATAGTTGTCTGTCTGATCAATTTCTTCCCGTTGAATTTTCTATCTTTCTTGTGTTTTTTTTCCTAATTTTTTAGCTTTTAGTTGGATAACCAAAAAAAAAAAAACTCTTTTACTCTTAGAATCTGTTGGCCTAAATAATCTAGGTAACCGAAGAGGAAAATGAATTGGATTTCGTTAAATTTTCAACTTATTTAGTTTATAAGCCAAAAACTAATAAATAACCTAATATAATCAATGCGACAAAGTAAGAAGTAAATGTTGGATGGAATCAATGAAGATATATCTTAATCTTTTTGAAATAATTGCTTCTTCAATGAGTGAAAGATATTCTATTTGAAAATTATAATTCTCATCGTAACTCACAATTTTTTTTTTTTAATAATTAAAATCAAATTATCACTACTATAATGAGCAGTTTAGTTCATCTGGTACAATAATACGATAATAAAATAACTATTAGGCCCTTTTTATTCTTTGTTGAAGATGAATTGTGGAAATGGTTGGGGCTGGGATGGGGTTTGTGTATTATCAGGTCAGGTTTTGGCGCCTGAGATTCCCTGGCTTTTCGGTACGGGTGGTTGATACTGTTTCATATGCTATTAGTTATTGATACATAATGTAGAGATAATGCTTTCGCAATTTTTATTAATTCATGCCAAACTCTAGAAATATGGAATTTAAATTGTAGGACTTGCAAGCAATCAGATACGGTCGAGGATACCGAGGACTCAAACTCTGGGGGTTCCAAATGCATACCCCGTGCAATCAAGGCATCTTTAAGCAAGCAACCCCGAAATGATTCCATGAGATCCCCTGCTTTCGACAAACCAAAAAGCTCCTCGGATGGGGCTGACAGCTCACAAGATACCTCTGCTAGCACATCTAATAGCGTCAGTAGGAGAGTTACAGAACCTGCGACAGGTAAGAAACATTCCAAGAGGGTGGAGTCCTTCGAAGAAGAGAAGGTGATTAAAATCGAGGAAAGTTAAGTGTCAGATCCTGAGTCCTGACTATATTGTCTTGAAAATTTAAAATTTGTTGATATTAAACAGAGTTGTGTTCATGTTGGTTAAGATTCTACTTTCATTTGCTCTCAACAGGCTTGCTTCAGGAGCTCGGGTTATAATCCAATCAAAAGCACCCTGCAATGCCAAGGTTGGATGCTCTTAGGGAACAATATTTTGGAGGTCTAGCAAGGGTCAAGGAAAGGTTGGTTACTTTTTTAAATGGTAGCCGGTATCATGTTTTGGTTTTGAATTTCAAATGATTCCAATTTATTTGCCGGGTCCACGTGATGATCTGTAACTCTCCAAAAGCAAACAAAAAAGTGAAGGTGAAAAAAATTCGTAAATTGCAATTGGGGGGATGGATGTGGAGATGTGAAGAGTGGTCCTTTTGCCTGCTGGATCGAAATCCCTGATAGTCGGGAGTAAATTTTGGGTCAGCCTTCTTATATATTAAGATGGTACCTTTTTTTAAAGAATAATTTGTAACTAGAGTTACCATATATTTTGCAGTTCTCCGTTTCTCACGTGGGAGTTATTTGGCTGCAACTGAAGGACAAAAATAGAAAAAGAAAAAGAAAAGAGAAGAAAAAAAGAAAGCATTTGACAGTTCCTTTTTCTTTTTGCTAAAAATATTTGACAGTTTCTGAGTTCTCAACCTCCCAAGGTATGAAAGAAAAGAAAAATTTTGTCATTTTAATCGGATGTTAGTGCTGGTGCAGTAGTCTAACATCCGATTTGGATTGTGACTGGCTGTAACAAGACAACTTGTTTTGACCGTATGATTAAAAAGGTTTGTTTTTTAAATAAAGTCAAAAAGATGGGTTAAAGAAATCAGGGATGTGCCTGTTTTTTGTTATAAAAGAATTAGTTGAAACTTGAAAATAAAGAAATTGAGGGGAAGGAAGTGGGGCAGAGGCGTTGGAACTGTGGAATTTATGATGAAATTTAAATATTGTTGTGATTCATTTGTGTGCAAATGCAAATTTAATATTATGAAAAGGAACAGTGCATTGAATATCTAAATTATTATCGGAGTATAAATGTTAAAAACTAGATCACTAATAAAAAGTATTTGCTTAAAAAGGGGCTTTTTCTTGGTTGGGTAGTGCTGTGGTGGGTATATATATTCTCTTCCCCTAATAAAAATATATACACCCTTTGATAGATTAAAGGAAAGACTTGAAAAATAGAAGGCCGTGCAGCTTCTCTAGAAAAAGAAAAAATATAAACGAGGAGAATTTGTTGACGTAGTCATAATCTTCCAAGCGTACAACACATAAAAATACCTTTCGATTTTGTAAACAAAATTTTGTTTCACACAATGGGTAATACAGAATCGAGATGGGGAATAAGTAATTGAAATTTGGCTTTGTTCTTTTAAAAAATTCATTTGATAAGCTTTGTTTAGAGCGTGTGAATTTGGATAAATTTGAACTCTACGGATGTGAACTAAATAAATTTCAGGACAGGGTTCACCTCACATGTACTCAAGTAATTTTGTTTAACACATTTAATTTATAATTAAATTATAAGTAGATATATTTTGAGTAAACAACCCTAATAATACAGAGAAATTATGCGTTATTTTTGGATATAGAAAGATTTTCATTTACATTTTTAATAAATTGAATCCTTGTGTAATTACTAAAAGGAACAGGGCCTGAGTGCAATGGAGAGACAAGAATCAGTAAATGGGTTAATGGGTTTTCTTTGTGAGCTGTTTGAAAAGGAAGATGGGTGAGAGAAAGGGAGATTTCAAGGCTTTTTATTTGTGGACCTCTTTTTAATTTTAATGTTGTGAATTGAATTGAATCAGCCCACACACACACATATATATGTATTTTTTAAAGTACCATATAAAATGATACGTAATATTTGATATAACACTCACCTATGCGTGCAACAACGTCATCACATCACATAAATTCGATGATAATGGTAGAATAAAGAGAAGGGTTAATTTGACTAAAAATTATAATTAAAATTAATTTAAACAAAAGTCGATAGTGCAAGAACTAAATTATTATTTTAGCCAAATTGTTGATAAAAATGATATACATTCTTTCTATCTTTATCAATATTTTTTATAACATTAAGGAAATAATTAATAATAATTAATTTGTGTTATTTAAACATCCAGATGGCTGTAGTAGACATTCGAGAAGAAGAAAAAGCATGCTGACTCATATTTTTCTTTAATTTCTGTTCAAAATCAGTAATTTACCCTAATAAATTATATATATATATATATAATATTTATTCATTTTAATTACTTACCAGATGTTACTAATATGAGAAGGAAAAAAAGATTTAAGTAGGTTCCCTCAATTTTATCAAAAATTCGTTAAATATAGAGGAGTAAGAAACCAACTTTTCTTAAAACGCATATTATATATATCTCAGACACCCCTCTTTATATTTCAAAAGAATATATACATATAGCTTACACACCACCATCTCAAAGCAATTATTGATCTAGAAACATCAGGATAGAATATAAATTTGCTGACTTTGTGTAATAGTTCTCTTCTAAAAGCTCATTAAGGTTCTTCTAGCCCTGATTTTCTTCTAGATTTGGCTTCATAAATTACCAGCATTATAATTGATTAATAATATTTGATGATTTTCTCCATGTAATAATGAAACGAAAAGATTAAATGTTTACTGAGATAACTGTAGACAAGAATATTGATGAAGCAACAATTCTGAGCAAGAATTGCTTTGTACCCCAACCATGAAAAAGAATGGTTGGTGACAATCTTAGCTCATCTCACCATCTCTGCCACTCTTGTTGAGCATGAAGTCGTCTCTGGACCTCCTCTTGTCTGCCTTGTGTTGTACGAGTTGCAGTTTGGGCATTTATGTGCCACGACATGGAACCGAATGTGAGAGTTTGCCCCGCAGTCATTGCATAGAATCCACACCTGAGTTTTGGTACCACAACATATTAGGGCTTTACAAGGTGAGTTTGACAACAAAACAACTGTCTGCATATAGTTTACTTGCCTACCATTTTATTCTGGTAGATTTCTGGCATTGGAGTTGAGGCAATCTGCATCAACATGGAGATGTAGAAAGAGTTATACACATGTACGCACATATAGTTTCCGAAATGATCAGGAAGAAAATATGGACGTATCATCTGAATACCTCATGATCGAGTTTTGTCCACAAACTTGACATATCACAGATGGACTTCGAGCAAACAGGGCATGAGTACCTGCAACATTCTAAGGATATAACAGGCAGCATAAAACGACTCGTAATGCATCTACTATCATACAGAATTGTAAATCTCTTTACTGGCTCTTTTTTCCTTATCCATGTTTGCATCCACATAATTCATATAAAGAAACATAAAGGTGCTGACCTGTAGTGAAGCTCCATCTCTTTCACACACTCCAAATGTATCGTGTGTCCGCAAGGTAAAACAGTAATATCTGCCCTCGTGTCAAAGAGAAACTGTCATCAAATTGCAAGAAGTCATCCCTTGTAGAAAACAGTTTTCTTAAATTGGTAACCAAGTTATGTTAAACACTTGAGTGTACCTCAAAGCAAACAGGGCAATTGTGGTGCATTGCTCTTTCCACACAACAATGTGCATCCTTCATTAATTTTGAATAGCAACAGCCTGGTGCAAAAATTAAAATTGTCAAGGAAACTGTAGAAGGAATGCAGAAAAAGAAAAGAAAAACCAACGCAGAAATCATGTTTAACTCCCACTCACCGCATTTCATACAATGAAAGAAGTTATCCTCGCCTCCGGTTCTGAAAAAGAAGTAATAATAATGTTTTTTTAGGAATTACTCGAATAAGGCCAGAGCAGAAATGAAAAACCTAAGAGAGATTAACTAAAGAGGGTTTGGTGTACTGTGTGGAACTTGAATATAACATTGATAATTTTCTTCCTTGCATAACCTGAGAACTTTATCATTGTTTTCACAGGAAATGGAACTTGAATACAAACATAGAGTGGCCTCTCCGAAAAGGAAATTTAGAATACATATTGGTAGGTACACTGGACATGAAATAATGGCAATACAAAAAAAAAAAAGCATCTCAACTGCTCTGAGCATGAGCTGATGAAATGAGAGTCTCTTACCTGCAGATCCCACAGTCATCACAATGGTATTGTTTTTTGGATACCTGAAACAAAAACTCATACTTCTTACATGCAGCCAATCAAATGTGCAAGAATCACATTGATTATTGTCCAGATTACAAACTTACATCATCATCGAAGAATTTACATTTTGCACAAAAGTACTTTCCCATACAAACTCCACAGTTCGTGCAGTTCTGTTGGACCTGATAGTACAGAAACAAAGATCAAAATTCTGTAACTACTAGTTGCTATCTTCTTATCATTTTTCTCAACTTGTGTATTCATTTCTATCTAGAGACCTAGTCACTTACATCTTGTTCGGTTCCACATAGGGAGCAAATGACCTGAAATCCAAATGGAGCTGAATTAGCCAACAAGAGAGAGAGAGAGAGAGAGAGACAGAAGCTACATTTTGACGCAAATGAAAATAATTGATATCTAAACCAAAATGATGACCTTGAAAACAATTTAAGATGATGTTACCCTATGACGTTTCATATCAACTTGGTCATTTATTCCCAATCACCACTATGCATTTATAACAGACATGGAGTAGAAAACGATAATGGGAGGACCATTAACCTAAAAATTAAACATTATGAATTGCTTTATGGTCTTATCTTATAACTGAGGTTAGAGTACTTTAGAAGGAAAAAAGGATTAATCTAGAGCAGCTAATTTGCTGGTGTACACTAGATTCTTCATCCCACAATGGCTAAGAGTTAAGAGAATCTCTTTAATTGTACAAAAAGGTTATTCTCCATCCGATGCAGAACAACTTTTGGAAGACAAAATTCTAAAGAGATAATATCTCATTTGAGTTCAACCCAAACTCTGATTACATCATTTTTTTAGTGTGTAAACCTGATAACCTGTTTCTGTAACATATGAATCATATTTTTTTGAAATAACATATGAACCATATTAACTGCATAAATTCTCCCAGTTGAATGGCTATTTCGTATATAAAAATTTCTCTTCCTACGTAGGTTATGGCTTAAAAATCTCTCTACCTGTAAGAAGAAGGCCACTCGTCCCTCTCAACTGAAGCACTTTTTACTACACACAACTCTAACAGCATAATATTTCAATTGAGCTCAGCCAAAGCTTGACCATTCATAGGTATCAATTGGATTTGATGTGACACTAATGCTTAGACAGGTAGAACAAAAAAATGGGACAACCTATTTTGTCTCATTATTTTATTTTCAATCAAGTCCACTTTTTGTCCCAGTGGTCATTGTTTGTATTATCTGTTGTCTATTTACAAAGCTATATATAGATAAGATTGGATCAAAATAGCTATCAAAGTAGCTGCTACTTTTATTGCAGAAATAAAAAAGGGAGATAAAAGAAAAGCGCAAAAGGCAAGATTCAATTTGCAGGCCATATGCCCACCAAGACATCCGATCCTGCAGTCCTTTTCCAGTTTTTACTTTTCTCCTTTTTTTTTTTTTCTGAAATATTTACTTTTCTCCTTTATAGATATTTCAACGAGCGGATACTAAGGTCTAATCATATTTATTAGGTCTACACGACTAAAATCTTACTACTTTCCCCTTTATAGATATTGCAATAAGAAAATACAGCTAGTTACTTCAGTCTTATTTAAAATCCCATAAAGTTATATATATAATTACTGTGTAATTTTCTTCTTATGGGAAACTCGAGATATGGCAACCCAGAAATATATTAGCATTCCTCAACAACCAACTTGTGGTAGGATTTGAAGATAACTTACAGAAATCAGAAGAAATACATATTCATGATATTGTTTACATCAAATTTGTAATATGTAAAAAGAAGATCTGATACTGACCTTTTCAACTTTATGGCGAGGAATATCGTGCCGATCAAGGGGATCAGACTCCAGAGAGTTCTGTTCATGTACAAAACAACCACAGGAAGGTCAATATCAGCTAAAATTAACAGATAAATAGATTAAAAGATTTTTAAAGAAACGGTAAATTACAGTATGTTTTTAGGTTTCAGGTCTAATCGCAACTAACTGCATTATTTTTCAAAAATTACAAGGCAATTTTTCCAGCTAACTCACGGTTGCAGAAATGCAGAAAAAGGCTAAAATAACCATTACATCAACTCCTTTTAAATTTTAATTACTAGAGATTCCCTCTTCGCCTCTTTACTTCTCTTCATTAAAAAGAAAAGTCAACTTCCTTTCTTAAACTCTTTACTACAAATTCATTTCCTCTCTTAGGTTTCCAAGAGATACACCTTCCTGCCATATACTATAAATACGATTTGAGAGGAAATATAAAAGTAAATAAGAGCTAGAAGATAAACGTATTTATGCCTCTGATTGTGTGCGTATACATATGCATACAGTTACCTGAAATTGAAGCTTGTTGGATTTGACGGGAAATATAAATTTACAGGCGATGGGTTTATTAGAAGCAGGGATTTGATTGTATCAAAGAAATGGGTAACAGAAAGGGGAGGAACCAGAGTTTTTCTGGACGTTCTTGGGAAGAATGAGAAAGGGGGTTTAGGTGTTGCAGATAAAGAAAGACAAATTCGAGAAGAAATTTAAAGACATATTTATGATTTTAACCTATAAAAAAGGCATAAGGAAAAAGTAAGAGAAGATGATAGATTTAATACCTTAGCTTCATTATGGCAATGTCTGCAATCAAAAATTTCATTGCAGCATGGGGCTCTTATCTTGCATTTCCTCCTGTAATGGGAACACCTGAAAAATGATAAAACAAAATCAATCATCAGTTTTTTCTTTTAATAAGAAAAGGGATAGAGAGAGAGAGAGAGAGAGAGAGAGAGAGAGAGAGAGAGAGAGAGAGAGAGAGAGAGAGAAGAAATACCCATAAGTTGCAGATTCAATGTCCATGGATGAAAAAATTTGAAGAGATGAAAGAAGGAATTTTAAGTCTTGAAGAATTTATAGGGGTTGATGGGAGATGATGAGTCAGCAACACGCAAGATCGTAATCTTTATCCGCAAAAATCATCACTTTATTTTACTAACTAATATTAGAAAATATCTCCCCATTCTCAGGCCTTTATTTTTAGTTATCATTAGTATTTCTTTTTTTTTAATTCAAAAAAAATTGAACTATAAAAGTTTAATGGCGTAATCCCACTCTGGATACTCTTTAATTATAATTAATTTAATTATAAAATATTGATTGATTAACGTAATTTTATCTTTTTTAAAAAATAATCAAGCAATTTTCTTTCTTAAAAAATAAAATAATATGTTACAGCAATTTTCCAAGGAATAATTTAACGTGTGCATGTATTCTATATGTAAAGACATGAAACAAATTGTTCTTCATAATATTTTTATTACACATGAATGTATATGTTAAATTAATAATGAAAATAATTAATTTACATGCGTGTGTTAAAGTTAATAGTAAATTAATTTAATTTTATTCACATCCATGCATGATTAAATTAATTAGTTAAAAAATAATAAGTTGCATGCATCTAATTAATTTTACACATCATATGGATGATGTTTGAATAAATTTAAAAATAATTAAATTTTATTCATTTATTAAATCAATTTTACGTACGTGATGCTCTAAATCACCTTACATACATGAATTGAGCTAGTTTTTTTTACAAAAGAATTTTAGAAATAATTAATCCACATGCATTTATTAAATTAGTTTTACAAATAATTAGTTAAATGAGAGTTAAACAAATTTTTCTTTTAAAATTTTCATTAATTCTTTTATAAACTTTTTGATTAAAATAGATTAGTAATAAAATAGGTCAGTTGCTATCACCTTTTTTTTTTTGTTTTTTTGTTAGTGATTATCTTTTTTTTTTTTCTAAATATAATTGTTGTTTTTAATTTAAAATGAAAATCAAAACACATAAATATAAAAAATAAGTGGCTCTAAATTGAAAACAAATAATTCAAATATAGAAATAGTATAACTAAAACTAAAACTAGAATCAATATATTAAAATAGATGTAGGAGAGGACAATGTAATCATGTTTAAAAATAATAAATATATAAAAATGGAATCAATATACTCAAATTTAGTGATCTCACACTCCATTTTTGTCCAAATAGCCATTTAACTTTTTCATGATTTTAAATTTTTGGTTTTAAGTTAAACATTTAGTAAATTCCCCTTTCCCCTTAAGCCCAATTCAAAAGATTAAACAAATGCACAAAAAATTTGAAGCTTTCTCTTGTTAACTGGTTGAGAATGAATTCCAGATTTTGAGCAACTGAATTCTACTACATTCTGCCCTACATGTTGCTAAACTAGAACAAAAAATTTGCATAATAAGCAATAACTAGCAAAAAAGAATAAAAGTGTACATATAGCTACAGCCTATGCTGTTACAACTCTACGTGATGAATAAGTTGAAAGCAAATTCTAGCTGTGTATATGTTTCTGATGCTGCACTATCAAGACAGATGTTCTGCTATCAAGATCTGGAGAAGCAAGCCAATCTCCGACGATTCCCAGTTCTGGAAATTCACTCCATTGATCAAGACCTTTTGTCAATTCACTTTCCTTGGCGGTGCCTCTGCCAACTATAAACAAATCGAACTCATCAACCAACGATCGAAGGATCAAAGCAGTCTCCGTCCCATCTTTTGCAGTTTTCTCTATGTAGATCACATATTCTTCTCCTAAATTATTGTGCATAATATCCTCTAACTCTTTTGAATCAAGAATCCTACTACAATGTGAGGTCTTATTGGTATTTTGATTTGCAGAAACTATGCGCACCACAGTCAAATTGAGTCTTGAGTCTCTCGTCATGCGCTTGGCTAATGCTAAAGCCTCTCTATCATCTTTTCCACCGAAGAAGATCATACAAGCTTGATAGGAGGTTTTTGATGATTCCCTCACACTTTTTCTCTCTATTCGACTACGATCAGCAAGGATTCCAACAGAACAAGGTGCAGTTTCAAGGAGAGTGCAATTTAAGTTCCTAATCATACTACTTTCTGAAACAATTGTTGATCCATCAATAGACCATGAACGATGAAAAGGAAGGAGTATAAGTGATGTGAGTTTGTCAAAAGCGACCATGGATATGTCCTCATGCATTCGTTTGGGAGAGGAGACAGATGTGAAGATGCTGACATGAACAAGACCCCAGAAATTTCTTTGGAATTGATCAAAAGAAATAAGCACATTGTCTGAATAAGAGTGGTTGCCGACATTTTTCTTTTGTAATTGATGGGATATGAAAATAGGAGAAGCCTGACCAATGAGCTCAATCAGATGAAGCACATAAACAGCAACGGGGTAATCAGTTGATGGACATGAAGCTTCAAGGAGATTAATCATGGGGATTATGTTATCAGGTTTGTGAATACAGGAGAGTATACGAAGCTCAGAATGAGGTTTCAGATGAATTATATCTCTTCTCTGGTAACCTGAATATCTTTTCGAAGGGTCGTAAAGTATTCTGATGCAGACTGGAAGGAAGTAGGAACCCACAAAGAGAGAAAGTGTCAAGTTGGTGAAACTATGCATTTCGATTAACTGCAAATGAAGAAAGAACAAAACTATTTAGAGAAAAGAACAAGGGTCTATGTCTACATACATATATATGCATATAAAGATAAGTGAATTACCTTCTGTTCAAGGCCAAAAGCATATGCTGCTAACTCAACATATCCTTTGGTGTTCATAACAAGAGTAAGGGCAACAGCATCCTTCCAAGAAACCTTAGAAACCAATGCTGCAACGAATGTTGCCATAAACTTGATTCCAAATACCGGAATAATCAACTTGAGATCATTAAAATCTCCAGCCATCTTCAAATTCACATATCTGGAAGTATTGACCACAAAGAAAGGCAAGAAGACACTGGATACAAAGTAATCAAACTTCTCTGTCAAGGCAGATCCCAAAGGTCGACCATCTGGAACAGCTAACCCTATAATAAAAGGACCAACTGGCATAAAC